TATGTGAGTTAGATCTGGATCTCAGGTTTTATTAATAGAAAACAGCTGGTGGAGATCAAAGGAGGTGATAGTAGCAGAAAGAGACCACAGGGGAAGAGATCTGGACCAGACAGGTGGGAGCAGCTGCGTGGGTAGGCAGACAGAATGGCCTGAGTTGGGAACAGAGGATGGGGAAGGAGAGAGAACAGGAGCCATCAGAGAGGAAGGAGGCAAGCTGGGGGGCTGGTGAAGGACTCGAGAGAGCCGTGATGCTCAAGCAGGAGTGGGGGCAGTCACAGTGTCCATCGCTCAGGGGACCCAGCCTCGAAGAGGGTGCTTGGTGCCTATCAGGTGGTGATATCTTGGCAGCTGGAGGGCAGCCAGGTGGAGGTGGGGGGAGCAGATAATGACAGGAGTGTAGAAAGCCTGCTCTTTCCCTTTCTAATATTTTAGTGCCTGCTATATCTATATGTGGGCTTCCCAGGTGGTGCAGTGGTAAGGAATCCGCCTGCCAATGCAGGAGACGTGTAGATGCAGGTTCAGTTCCTGGGTCTGGAGGATCTCCTGGAGGAAAGGGCAACCCACTCCAGTATTCTTGCCTGGAGAACCCCATGGACAGAGGAGCTTGGCAGACTACTGTCCCTGGGGTCACAGAGTCGGCGACGACTCAGCACACACACGCACATCATGTTTATAGTTTCCTGCTGCCTTTCCTCTATTTACATTAAAAAATAAAGTATCATTGCATACAGTAAAATTTACCCCTTTTAGTGAAAAACTCTGTAAGATTTGACAAAGGCATACAGCTGAGAAACTATCTTAAGATACAGGCTATTCTTCTGAATTCCCTCTTACCCCTTTGTAAGCAGTCCTTATTCCGACACCCCCACTTCCCAGCAGGTCTGCAGCCTTGGCAGCCTCCACCTGTTCTGCAGTTCTGAATGGAATCAGATGGTTTGTAGCTTCTTGAGTCTGGCCCCTTGTTCTTAGCATGATGCCTTTCAGGTTCATTCATGTGTGTGTATCACCATGTCCTTCCATTTCATGATAGAGTAGGATCCCATGTGGGATGTACTCCCACTTTCTTCACCTGCTGGAAAACGTTGATCTTCCCAACCCAGGGATCGAACCTGGGTCTCCCTTACTGCAGGCAGAATCTCTACCATCTGAGCCACCTGGGGAGCCTTTTAGTTCTTCCTACATGTTGGCAATCATGAACAGAGCTGCTGTTAACATCCTGTGCAGGTTTTTGTGTGAACCTGTTTCCATTTTTCTAGGATGAATACCTAGAAGCCATCCTGACTCTCTATTTTTTTTTTCAAACTTTAACATTTTTATTTTGTATTGTGGCATAGCCGATTAACAATGTTGTGATAATTTCAGGTGAACATTGAAGGGACTCAGCCATACATATACGTGCATCCATTCTCCCCCAAATGCCCCTCCCATCCAGGCTGCCACATGATATTGGGTAGAGTTCAATGTCCTATAAAGTTCCATGTCCTTGTTGGTTATTAATTTTGAACTGATGCTTTTTATTTTAAAATTTTTATTATTTATTTGGCTGTGCCAGGTCTTAGTTGCTGCAGGATTTTTAGTTGAGGCATGTGGGAGATAATACCTCGACCAGGGATCAAGCTCGCCGCCCTCTCCCCCGCAACCCTGCATTGGGAGCTCGGAACCTTAGCCACTGGGCCACCAGGGAAGTCTTCCAACCTGTTAAACACTCTTTAAGGGATGCTGGGGCTTTCCTGGTGGCTCAGCGGTAAAGAAGCCTCCTGCCATTGCAGGAGACACGGGTTTGATCCCTGGCTTGGGAAGATCCCCTGGAGAAGGAAGTGGTTATCCACTCCAGTATTCTTGCCTGGAAAATCCCATGGACAAAGGAGCCTGGCAGGCTACAGGCCATGGGGTCAAAAAGAGTTGGACACGACTTAGCAACTCAACAAAAACAATAAATGGGATGGTGACTGCCTCTCCTGGCCCCCAGTTAATCACCTGCCTGTAACTACTGGGACATCCAGGGCCTGCCCCGCGCCTCTGGCCCTCTCAACCTCAGTGCCAGAAGCCTTCTGGTTAGAATGCTGGTTCTGGCCCCTCCCCTGGCTGCCCCGATTCAGGCCTTGGATGATTCACGCTCAGGCCCAGCACCATCTTCGCCTGTTCCTCAACACCGGGGAAAGGCAGCCTTTCTCAATCCACAAAAGCTTTCTTCCCACCCCTGCTCATAATTGCTGAACTAAGAAGGGTGCCCGAGGACCCTTCCTTGAATGCAAAACTATGCCCGGGTGGCCTTAACTGGACCCATCTTAGTAGCGAAATGACCAGAAACTGTTATGGGCATACTTTTTTCAACATTATATAAAAACTTACAAACATACAGAAAATGAGAACAATTCGTTGTACAAATTATCTACCTCTTAGATTCTACAGTGGAATTTTGCTATATTTGCTTCATCACATACACTTGATCCTCATTAGTATTGGATTCTGTATCTGCCAACTCACCTGCTTGCTGAAGTTTATTTGTAACCTCCAAGCTCATGCTCGCCGCACTTTCACGGTTGGAGGGCATGTGCAAAGCGGTGTGAAATTTGTCAACCCACATGCTGGTTCCTGCTGAGGCTGAACAAGGCAATGCTTTGCCTTCTTGTTTCAGCTCATATTGTAAACAAGTCTCTTCCTCACAGTCTATTTGGTACCACATTTTGTGCTATTTGTCCGTAATTTCACTGTGTAAATGGTCCCCAAGGGCAACACTGAGGTGCTGTTTAGTGTCCCCAAGTGCAGGAAGGCTGAGCTATGTCTCCCAGAAAAAGTATGTGTTGAATAAGCTTAGTTATAGGGCTGTTGGCCAAGAGTTCAATGCTAATGAGTCAATATAATTATGTAAGGTGTCTTTAAACAGAAGTAAATAAAACAAGGTTATATACTGATCTGTTGATGAAAATTTTGTTATCAGAGACTTAAAGGAACTTAACCCTGAATTTCTTCTAGAAGCAATGGCTTAGTACTTCCTCATTCAATACCTTATAGAAATATTGCAGACAGCAAGACTCAACTATATCAATCTACTTATCCATACATCAACTTTTGTTTTTGGATGCCTTCCTTTCAAAATAAATTACAGTCATCACTACCCATCACACCTAAATATTTCTGCACACAGATCATTGACTGGGGTTCAATATTTTATGGTGCCTTTAAAAAATATATTTTAAAATTTATTTTAAATGTGGCTGCATCGGTCTTAGTTGTGACAGGCACTCAGCATCTTCATCGTGTAATGCAGGCTCTTTCACTGTGGCACATGCTCTCCAGTTGTGGCCCTTGGGCTCCAGAGTGTGTGGGCCCAGTAGTTGTGGCACAAGGGCTAGGCTGCTCCACGGAGTGTGAAATTTTAGTTACCCAACCAGGGACCGAACCTGTGTCATCTGCATTGCGAGACGGATTCTTAACCACTCAGCCACCAGGGATGTCTCTTATGGTGCTTTGTAAAATTGAGAGGCCCAAATACAATGAAATGAACAAGTTGGTACATCGTCTGAATTTTGAGCGACTCAGACACCTGTGTAACCCAGTGCTTCTCAAGATATCAGACATCACCATCACTGTGGAAAGTTGAAGGTGGGCAATCTTAAGTTATGTGCCTCTCCAGATTATTTATTTAAATGTCCTTAATTCCTCCTCACCACAAGAGGTCATACTTTCCAGTCACACACTTTATTTTGTTTAATGGCCATATCAAAGTTCACATTGATGTTAAATCCTAATATATTTTTATCTGAACTAGTTTATGTGTTGTTCAATGGCTCAGTCTGACTCTTTGCCACCCCATGGACTGCAGCACGTCAGGCTTCCCTGTCCTTCACTATCTCCTGGAGTTTGCTCAAACTTGTGTCCATTGAGTCAATGATGCCATCCAACCACCTCACCCTCTGCTGCCAGCTTCTCCTCCTGCCCTCAATCTTTCCCAGTATCAGAGTCTTTTCCAGTGAGTTGGCTCTTTGCATCAGGTGAACAAAGTACCGTAGCTTCAGCTTCAGCATCAGTCCTTTCAGTGAATCTCCAGGGTTGATTTCCTTTAGCATTGACTGGTTTGATCCCCTTGCAGTCCAAGGGACTCTGGAGAATCTTCTCCAACACCACAGTTTGAAAGCATCAATTCTTCGGCTGTCAGCCTTCTTTATAGTCCACCTCTCACATCCGTACATGACTACTGGAAAAGCCACAGCTTCGAGCTGGTTTCTGCTTTCTACAAACTCAGTTCATGAAGGGAGAGGGGGCAGGGCAAAGGGGCATTTCTCAGGTTGTGGAAGGCTACTGGAGTCAAGCTCCTTTGGTGAGCAAAGGCTGTTTCAGCTGCAGGGCCTTTGTACTTGCTGTTCCCTCTGCCTGTTGCTTTTTGAGAAGTGGGTTCCTCTTTATCCTTCAGATCTCAGCTCACGTGCTACCTCCTCAGAGATTGTGACCACCCTGGCTACAGTGGCTTCTTTCTTGGTCTCTACTTCCTTTAAAACACTGACCTCAATCTGTAATTATTATTTTTGTTTCTTCTTTGTTTATTGCATCCTCTCTCCCTCAGACTGTCATCTCTGGGAGGGCAGAGACCATGTCTGTCTTACTGACCCACATCTCGAGCCTGAAACACAGTAAGAATCCAACACGTGTTTGGGAGATAGACGTGCCCGATGCGTGTGTGTGCAGGCCAGTGAGGGGTGCCTCGGTGCTCCGTACTAGGCCTGAAAAGTCAAAGGCTGGTTTGGGACTCCAGTCCGAATCCAGCAGGGTAAGGCTCTTTTCCCATTTGACTCCGGCACACGTCAGGCTCTGCACAACTGGCACACACAGCTGTGCTGCAAGGATGCCCTTTAATGAGGGGGTCTCTCCTCCTATCTCTGGGTCCAATGGATGGGTTCAGGAAGGGAAACCAAGGCCCTGACGTGCCCTCAATCCCGTTTCGAACCCACAGGGTCTGGAGAGGCGCAAGGCCACGCACCCTGCCCAGGGCGCCGGCGGCGATGCCGGACCCCGCGGCGCACCTGCCCTTCTTCTACGGCAGCATCTCGCGCGCCGAGGCCGAGGAGCACCTGAAGCTGGCGGGCATGGCCGACGGGCTCTTTCTGCTGCGGCAGTGCCTGCGCTCGCTGGGCGGCTACGTGCTCTCGCTCGTGCACGAAGTGCGCTTCCACCACTTCCCCATCGAGCGCCAGCTCAACGGCACCTACGCCATCGCAGGCGGAAAGGCGCACTGCGGCCCGGCTGAGCTCTGCGAGTTCTACTCGCGCGACCCGGACGGGCTGCCCTGTCGGGCCTTGAGAAGGTGGGGCCGGGGAGGGCGGGACCTGGGGCCGAGGGAGCTATGGGTCTTGGTGAGACCGGCAGTCTTTGCCAGCCTGCGCTGTGCTTTGCTGCGCCCGTTTTAGATGCTAGAGGGATGGGACCTGGTTGGGGGCAGGACCTAGTAGGAGACCTCGGAGGCAGGGGCCTGAGCGATGCTATGGTGCTTATCCGAGGCAAAGTGTAAGTCGGGGAAAGTTGAGGTCGCTCTGAGTCCGGGACGGACGAGGTTGGGAGCGGGACCCCAGGAGCGGGGGTTTGGGCTGGGAGCAGTGCCCTGAGGTAGGCTGGCCCGCAGGGGCAGTGGCTTGTGGTCTTCGACAGCCTGCAGTGCCCGATTACCAGTGTCAGGTCTTCCTTCAAGTGGGAGATGAGCGTGGGGCCTACTGGAAGGCGGGGCCTGGGCCGTGGCCTATGCCCGGAGCCTGGATGGATTGGATCGGGACCACGGAGATGAGAGGAGGGGTGGCTGTCCTCATCAGCCTAAAAGACTTAGGTCCTAGGCGCGCCTGAGTTGGGAGTGTCCAGGAGATGGAAGAGGGGTCCTGTGGCGGGCACTTAACGACACTCACAGGTCTTCTTCACCCTCCCTTCCCCAGGGCGAGGCCTTGGAGCAAGCCATCATCAGCCAGGCACCCCAGGTGGAGAAGCTCATTGCCACGACAGCTCACGAACGGATGCCCTGGTACCACAGCAGCCTGACGCGCGAGGAGGCCGAGCGCAAACTCTACTCGGGCTCCCAGACCGACGGCAAGTTCCTGTATGTGGGGCTTGGGGCCTGGGGTTTTGGGGGGGTGAGGCTTGGGTGGACCTCAGTGAGCAGGTGGGTATTGAGGGAGTGTGCCTGTGCTCGCAAGTGCTGGTGACTCAGAGTTGGGAGGCCTGGGTTGAAAGCCAGCGTCTGCTACTTAGCAGCTGGGCTTGCTGGGCAAGTATCGTAACTGCTTGCTTGCATTAACTCTTCTGCATTCACCAAATATTTACTGAGCGCCTACTACGTGCCAGGCACTGTTCCAGGCATTGAGGACGTGGCAGTGCATAAGACAGACACAAATCCAGTGTCCTTGAGGAGCAGGCAGACAAAAAAACGAGGATTCACTGAAACATAGAGTATGTCAGATGGTGGCAAGTGCCGTGTGTGGAGCCGGGCAGGGGGTTGCAAGCTGAGCTTAGGTGGCCAGAGAAGGTGACTTTTGCGTAAAGAACCGAAGGAGGTGATAAGTGGGCTGTGAGCTCTCTGGGAGGTGTTCCTGGCAAGTACTCAGACCAGGAGGAGGTTCTTGGCATGTTCCAGAAGCAGTGAGGAGGCCAGTGTGCTTGGAGCTGAGTAAGTGACAGCTGGAGTGGGAGGGCTTTCCAGGTGGCACTAGTGGTGAAGAATCTGCCTGCCAATGCAGGAGACATAAGACACGTGGGTTCAATCCCTCGGTTGGGAAGATCCCCTGGAGAAGGAAATGGCAATCCACTCCAGTATTCTTGCCTGGAGAATCCCATGGCCAGAGGAGCCTGGCAGGCTACAGTCCATGGGGTCACACAGAGTTGGACACAACTGAAGCAACTTAGCACCCATGCATGCATGGAGTGGGAGAGGGTGAGGCCAGGGAGGTGACTTTGACTTTGACCCTGAGTGAGGTAGGAGCCCTGGGGAGCATTGAAACTGCTCTGTGGATGATGATAGTACTAACTCAAGGATCTGTTAGGGGAAAACACCAATTAATGTGTTAAGCAGTCTTAAACAGAATCGAGCGACAGAAGGCGAGATGGCAGGATGGCGTAACCGATGCAATGGACATAAACTTGGGCAAACTCTGGGAGATGGTGAAACAGGGAAGCCTGGTGTGCTGTAGTCCATGGGGTTGTGAAGAGTCAGACATGACTTGGTGCCTGAACAACAATAAACAAAAGTCAAGTATCTGGCATATACTAAAAGTGCACTGAATGTTAGTATATGTGGGTAAATGCGGTATCTCTGCCTGAGCCTGAGCCGTGGCTGAGCCATGTGGCTGTCTATGAGTTAGTTATTATGAAAGAGTCTGTCTAAAGCTATTCACAGCCCTGTGCTGGGGCTGCTCTTTCTGGTCAGGACCTGGGTTCCTCTATCAAGCAGGTGTTATCCAGATGTCAGCTGAGGTCATAGAGAGAAAGTTGGTGCCTGTCTCTTTCCTGTGGCCTCAGGAAGCACAGCATCCTCCCCTAAGATGTGAATTCTTGAGGGCCTCTCAAGTGCTGGTGACTCAGAGTTGGGAGGCCTGGGTTGAAAGCCAGCGTCTGCTACTTAGCAGCTGGGCTTGCTGGGCAAGTATCGTAACTGCTTGCTTGCATTAACTCTTCTGCATTCACCAAATATTTACTGAGCGCCTACTACATGCCAGGCACTGTTCCAGGCATTGAGGACGTGGCAGTGCATAAGACAGACACAAATCCAGTGTCCTTGAGGAGCAGGCAGACAAAAAAACGAGGATTCACTGAAACATAGAGTATGTCAGATGGTGGCAAGTGCCGTGTGTGGAGCCGGGCAGGGGGTTGCAAGCTGAGCTTAGGTGGCCAGAGAAGGTGACTTTTGCGTAAAGAACCGAAGGAGGTGATAAGTGGGCTGTGAGCTCTCTGGGAGGTGTTCCTGGCAAGTACTCAGACCAGGAGGAGGTTCTTGGCATGTTCCAGAAGCAGTGAGGAGGCCAGTGTGCTTGGAGCTGAGTAAGTGACAGCTGGAGTGGGAGGGCTTTCCAGGTGGCACTAGTGGTGAAGAATCTGCCTGCCAATGCAGGAGACATAAGACACGTGGGTTCAATCCCTCGGTTGGGAAGATCCCCTGGAGAAGGAAATGGCAATCCACTCCAGTATTCTTGCCTGGAGAATCCCATGGCCAGAGGAGCCTGGCAGGCTACAGTCCATGGGGTCACACAGAGTTGGACACAACTGAAGCAACTTAGCACCCATGCATGCATGGAGTGGGAGAGGGTGAGGCCAGGGAGGTGACTTTGACTTTGACCCTGAGTGAGGTAGGAGCCCTGGGGAGCATTGAAACTGCTCTGTGGATGATGATAGTACTAACTCAAGGATCTGTTAGGGGAAAACACCAATTAATGTGTTAAGCAGTCTTAAACAGAATCGAGCGACAGAAGGCGAGATGGCAGGATGGCGTAACCGATGCAATAGACATAAACTTGGGCAAACTCTGGGAGATGGTGAAACAGGGAAGCCTGGTGTGCTGTAGTCCATGGGGTTGTGAAGAGTCAGACATGACTTGGTGCCTGAACAACAATAAACAAAAGTCAAGTATCTGGCATATACTAAAAGTGCACTGAATGTTAGTATATGTGGGTAAATGCGGTATCTCTGCCTGAGCCTGAGCCGTGGCTGAGCCATGTGGCTGTCTATGAGTTAGTTATTATGAAAGAGTCTGTCTAAAGCTATTCACAGCCTTGTGCTGGGGCTGCTCTTTCTGGTCAGGACCTGGGTTCCTCTATCAAGCAGGTGTTATCCAGATGTCAGCTGAGGTCATAGAGAGAAAGTTGGTGCCTGTCTCTTTCCTGTGGCCTCAGGAAGCACAGCATCCTCCCCTAAGATGTGAATTCTTGAGGGCCTCGCTTCTCGTGGTCTCTTCTTGGCCTGAGATCCTGCCTGGCTGAATCCTTGCTCTCACCCACCTCAGGGCCATCCCACTTGGAGGAACTGACCTTTTCCGCTTGATTTCCCCTCCCCTGTGAGGCCTGAGCATGTGCACCAGATTATCTGCAGGGATCCCTCTACAAGATTCTTGTAATAATAATAAAATATTATTGTCAAATAATACAATATTTTTTTTCACCCTGCATAAAAAAGCTAGGCTGTAAATTGAAGTGGAGTTTGCAAAGCTTCTGAGGGAATTCTTGAATGCATGTTATAGATAATACTCAGCTGCAAAGATGGCTTCTGAACAACTTAAGGCTATTTTCTAAGACTGAAGCTGAGGGAGCTAGGATCTGGATACAGTATAGACTGAGGCTGTTGCTGGGGTTCAGAAACAGCTGGGGCACTGACATGATGAGGGCCATGACTCAGGGAGGGACATGTTGAGACCAAGAGCCGCTACAGTGAGCCAGACTCCTGGACAATTAGGCAAGGCATGCTCTGGACAGAAGCTGTTGTAGACTCTTCTTGTGTTTCCTGTCACCAATAATGGCTTTCTCAATATGTGGATAGTTAGGGACTGAAGGTCAAAGCAGTAGGCACAAAATCTCATGAACGAACACCCCTGGCTCATCATGATGCCAGGGATAAGCCCAGGACTGGTCTAGTTCTGCAATGAGGGTGCAGGTGTGATGGAAAGTCACAGGCCCCTGTGGCCAGGAGTCAAGACCAGGGCCATACTTATCACTGACCACTGTTCAGAGCTGCTGGCAAATGGATGGAATTATACCGAATGCTCTTTGCTGCCAAAGCTCACTTCCTTTCTGCCTATTTGCAGCATTTGTGGTCCTGATTGATTCAACTGAAAAAGACACCTGAACCCTGGAAAGGGCCTTCAAGACTATATCATTAAGTGTTTCTTAATGGACCACAGGCCCCTTTGGAAATTGTACTGAAGCTGAACACTACTCATAATCCCCAATACATGTTTACCCCCAAAGATTTTGCAAACAGTTATATGAGATCATGGGCTTCCCTGGCAGCTCAAACAGTGAAGAATCTGCCTGCAATGCAGGACATGCAGGTTCAATCCCTGGGTCGGGAAGATCCCCTGGAGAAGGGTGTGGCAACCCACTCCAGTGTTCTTGCCTGAAGAATCCTGTGGACAGAGGAGCCTGGCAAGCTATAGTCCATGGGGTCACAAAGAGTCAGATACAGCTGAGTGGCTCACACTTATAGGAGATCATGGTTAATCCTGAACCTCACTTTTGGAGCCCTTTTCAGGATAAGACCGTCTGAGTTAGCTTTGTTCTTTCATTTTACATGTGAGGAAACTGAGGTACACAGAAGAGAAGCAACTTGATGGAGATGCACAGAGAATCTGTCAGACCCAGGTAGCAATCAATTGTAGGGTCAGAAATGGGTTTACATCCTGGATCCATCCCAAACCAACTGTACAGTTGAGGCAAGAGATGTAATCTCCTTGAACCTCAGCTTCCTCGTGTGCAAACTGTGGGTAATTATAGCACACGGTGGGTATCTTGTGGAGAACGTGGTGAAGATGAAAGGACAAATAGTGAAGAATTGAGCAAGTATAGTCATAAATGGCAGCTTATTTTTATCACCATCATCCAGTTCCATGTATTATTTTGTAAATATTTATCTATTTTTGGCTGTGCTGGGTTTTCGCTGCTGCACGGCCTTTTCTCTAGTTGCAAAGAGTGGGGGCCACTCTCCGCTGTGGTGCATGGCCTTCTCATTGTGGCTTCTCTTGTTGCAGAGCACAGGCTCTAGGGTGCCTGGGCTTCAGTAGTTGCGGCATGTGGGCTCAGAAGTTGCAGCTCCCAGACTCCAGAGCACAGGCTTAATAGTTGTGGCACATGGGCTTAGTTGCTCTATGGCATGTGGGATTGTCCCAGCTCAGGGATCAAACCCATGTCTCCTGTGTTGGCAGGCGGATTCTTTACCACTGAGCCAGAGGGCAGCCCTCTATATTTTATTTTAAAAGTGGAGATAGAAGTTGATGTGTTAGCCCGTACCTCTAGTTTTTCAGTTCAGGTTTGAACTTCAAGGACAGAGAACTGCCACCAACTGGTGGATTTTTAGTAAACAAAGTCGAATTTGTGGCATTGGAATGTATTTGGTGAACACACCAGTGTCTTTGCCCATATGGGACTGGTGGCTGCTCTTTTGTGAACGCTTATGTCTCATCCCAAAGACAGGGCATCAGTCAGCCTTTGCTGTGTGACAAACCAGCCTAAAGTGCTGTAGCTTAAAATGCCAGTTGCTTATTCATCCTTGATTCAGTGGGTTGGCTCTTTGGGCTTAGTTCAGCTGGGTGGCTCTTCAGCTGCTTTCCTTTGCACTTGTTTGTGTGGTCACAACTGGAGGGTTGCCTGGGGCTGGAAGGTGTGGGATGGCCTCACTCACAAGTCTGGCAGTTGGCAGGCTGGGGTGCCTGCGTTCTCCTTTGTGTGGCTCCCCCAGTGGGCTAGCATGGACTCATTTCTGTGGTGGTTGCAGGGTTGCCAGGAAAAGCAAAAAAGGGCAGGCAAGCCCCAGTGCTCAACCATTTTTCAAGTCTCTTCCTGTGTCCTGTTTGCTAATGTTTTATTGGCCACAGAAAGTCATGTGGTCAAGCCCTGATTCAAAACATATAGAACTAGAGTCCATCTGTTGATGGGAAGAAATGCCTAATATTGGGGCTGTGTTTTTTTTTTTCAGTATTCCACACATATTTGCAGGTGAGTGGCTGGGCATTGAGTTTTTGTTGTCAGTTCAAAAATCTTAGAGTTTGAACTTATGAGGTATTTTCACTTCTCAAAAGGAGAGAACTAGAAATTAGAGGCCATTACCTCCAGGTCAGCCTACCAGTCTAGTTATGGAAGCTCCTTCCTTTCTGTGGGATATTTGCACTTCTTAGTTTGTTGTAGGATTCTCTTCCTTGACTTTGGTGCTCCCCTGTTGCTCCCCAACATACCCTGTTTCCTGTCTCTCCAGGTGTCCCCGAATGTTGTGAGCTGGCCTGGGAACCATGTCAGCCTTCATTGAATTGTTCTTTTGGGAACTTGCTATCTGGGAATGGATGGGATATTCACAGTCACCCCTCCATTCTTCACTCAGGTTTTGCCATGGAGATTTAAGGGATATTTCTCTGTCCCTTTGGCCTAAGGAAGGGTTGCACGGTGAACTCGCATCTGTCTTGTTCACCACTGGACTCCTACCCTTAGAACAGTGCCTGGCATGTGCTCAACACTTAGTAAATATTTGCCCATTGAATGGATATCCATGGGCAGGACCCAAGCTCTGAGAGTGTGTGGTCTGAGGGTACCCACATGGGTTATCCCATGACTGTTTCCTGCTGCATGCTGCTGGCCGACTGTCGTGTAAGTCAGTTCAGTCCTCTAGATTATTGGTCAGTTGTCTGCAACTTCCACAGTGCTAGAGACCCCAGGAACAGCTGCCCTCCCTCCTCTGCTGGAAAGCTACACTTAACCTTGGAATAGAACCTTGTGCCCGGACGCTGACTGGTTTTGCCATGGGATGGGAGGGTGCGGGGTGCCTAAACTGGCCTGTGTGTCTGTGTGCGTCCATGCACATGCACATGTGTGTGGTTGGGCAGGTTCTTACTGCATGAAGTCACCATCTTTGAGGGGCTCCATGCCCATTCATAGACATGGAAGATCTTAACATTTATTTTGGCAAATTTCCAGAAGAGTACAATCAAGGGTCTCATTCTGTTAAAGGTCATCTGTTATGATAATTGATGAGTCTATTGTGATGATGAGGTGACTTGTTCTGATTTGTATGAAGGTGCCCTATGATCTAGCCATGGACCTGTGCTTACCTTTATCGCTCAATGTATAGAAATAGCTTTGCTTCCCCAGGAGAATGGTCTTAACGCTGCGTGTCCCCCATGAGTGGCTCTGTGTCCACCATAGATGGAAAAATATCCCACCATGAGTGGCCAACTGTCTTCCCCCACCCACTTGTGGCCAAGTGTCTGGCCATGGGTGGTGAGATGTTGAGCCATGGAGAACCAGGTGTCCCCAGTGTATAGCCAAGTGTTGCCCCCCAAATGGCCAAGCATCCAGCTGGGGGTGGCTGAGTGCTCGGCTATGCAGGGCTGAAACCCCACCACAGGTGGTCCAGTATTCCCCTGTGGATGGTCCCATGCCTGTGCTTGTGAACATGGTCCTCCTCTCTGGTTGCCCCGGTGCCCCCTCCCCTAGCCCTACCCAGTCTGTTACCAGTAGGTCTGGAGGTCAAGTGGGGTGTGACCTTGGTCCCCACAACCCCTGCCACTTCTCCATGGGGCTCTGGGGTGCAGAGCCCGTAGGGTATAATGTGTGGGAACTGAGTTCCGTTAGGAGGGAACCCCCAGGGGCCCGGGTGGTTGTCGGGGTGACACCCCCTCCTCCTTCTGTCAGGCTGAGACCCCGGAAGGAGCCGGGCACGTACGCGCTGTCTCTGATCTACGGGAAAACTGTGTACCACTACCTCATCAGCCAGGACAAGGCGGGCAAATACTGCATTCCCGAGGGGACCAAGTTTGACACACTCTGGCAGGTAAGCCACCTACCCGCCCTGTTGTAGTGGGGAGACTGTTTGGGGGGTGCTCAGGCTCCTGGGGAAGGGGGAGTCCCAGCCCTGACCCCACCCCCCACAGCTGGTGGAGTACCTGAAGCTGAAGGCTGATGGACTCATCTACTGCCTGAAGGAGGCCTGCCCCAACAGCAGCGCCAGCCCAGGTGAGTGGGGCGGCAGTGGGGGCGGGTGTGTCAGGCTGAGATCGGGCTCCTGGCTAGGCCCTGGGGTGTGTCGGGGAGGGACCTAGGCCAGGCCTGGCCTCTGGCAGTGGGCTGGGTTGCCCTGTGCAGAGTGTGCCTGCAGGTGGGTGTGCACGGGGGCGTACGTATCACGCCTGCACACGCATGCATGTGCCCAGGGCATGCTGACACATGGGGAGTACACCTGGCCGTGCCCAGGCAACCCCGGGGGTAGAAACACATCCAGAAGCACCTCCTGTGTGCCACTCACGCCCTAGCACACCGAGCGTGTGAGCTTTGCAGAGTCCTCCTGACAAACCACAGGAGGCGGTCATTCTCATTTTACAGAAGAGAGAGGAGGGCCGGGACTGTAGGTCCCAGAGCAGGCCGGGGTAGAGCTGGGATTTGACACCACAGCCCACGTACCTCACATGCCTGCCACAGATGCTCGTGTGTTTCATGTATGGATGCAAGCCTGGAGTCCTTGTACACATGGCTGTGTGGTTCATACATGGACAGGGGTGGGCATGACACGTGTGCACATGTGTCAGATGTGCACGCGGCAGCTGGCCCACTAATGGTTGCTTGTGTAGATACACTTTAGGACCCCTATCACACACGGAGACATGGGTGAGAGAATTTGTGGGTGCACATGTGTGAACACGCAGGTGCACACATGTTACACGTGCACATTAGATGTGGCTTCACAGTCGGTGCGACCAGGAGCGCACACAAGTGCACATGCTCACACATGCTCTGCATGGTGTGACCTGTGGCGCGTGTGCCTGGAGGGCGCCAGGGCTGCTCTGTCCTCCTCCCGCCCCTGTCGCCGTCCCTGCTCCTGACTTGGGAGTGCACACCTGTGTGTGTGCCCAGCGCGGTTAGTGTCCTCAGAGAAGCCGCGAACGATGCCCATGGACACCAGTGTCTACGAGAGCCCCTACAGCGACCCCGAGGAGCTCAAAAACAAGAAGCTCTTCCTGAAGCGTGAGAACCTCCTCATGGCTGACATCGAACTCGGCTGCGGCAACTTCGGTTCAGTTCGCCAGGGCGTCTACCGCATGCGCAAGTAAGCCCCACCCTGGCTGGGGAACCGCTGTGGGTGGGGAGGGGGCGTGGCCTCTCCAGGCCTTGTGGGGCGGAGCCAGGGTGAGACTTCAGACTGACTGTGAGGGGGGCTTACCTGGGAGAGTTCGGGACAGTCCCGAGAGGGGGTGAGAGGAGCTGGCCAGGGGCAGGGAGAGTTTGGGCTAGCTGCAGTTGCGGTGGAGTCCTTGGCTGATCGCAGGGGAGCTGCTGAGGGGCCAACCCTCGTCTCCTCCATTGACTGGCCTTTGGATACATGCTGGTCATTGGATATAGGCTGCCCCTGGGGAGGGTGAAACTGAACCGGTTCTTTTTGGTGAGGGGCGGTTCCTGGTGAGGGGCTTGACTGTGAGCTCTAAGTGACGGGGAGGTCTAGGCGGCAGACCACAGTACCCGCTACACAAGAGAGGCAGGTCCGGTGGGGATGCGGGAGTGGTCCAGGCCCGTGCGGGCTCAGGCGGGGCCCCTCCATGTGTCTCACGGCAGGAAGCAGATCGACGTGGCCATCAAAGTGCTGAAACAGAGTACGGAGAAGGCGGACAAGGACGAGATGATGCGGGAGGCACAGATCATGCACCAGCTGGACAACCCCTACATCGTGCGGCTCATTGGGGTCTGCCAGGCCGAGGCCCTCATGCTGGTCATGGAGATGGCCGGCGGCGGTCCCCTGCACAAGTTCCTGGCCGGGAGGAAGTGAGCCCCTGGGCTGGCGGGGTGTCTGGGACTGGGGGCTGAGGCTGTCCACCCAGAGGTGTGCGCCACGCTCATTTCCCCATGTTTGTAGACACATTTACACCTGCCGCCCACACTTACACCCCTGGCAGATCTGATCGCAGGTTTGAGTTTCAGCTGTCACTAACTCTTGTGACACCAGGCGGGTCTCTTAATTCGTCTGTGTCTCAGTTTCTTCATTTGAAAAACTGCAATGCCCCCTTCAGGGGCCCTTGAAGTCAGATGAGCTGATATTTATAAAGTGCTCAGAACAGGGCCTAGCACTGCTTGTAGGAGCTTTGTAAGTATTAGCTCTGTGCTTCTGCCACCCCAGCTCTCCCTGCCAATTCAAGATCCCCTGTGATGGTTGATTGTCTTTGACCTAAAGCAGGGTCAGAAAACTGCAGCCAGGGTTGTTTTCTATAGCCTGGTTTTGCATCTTCAAAGGTCTCCAAAAAAAAAAGGACTATGTAACAGAGACCATGTGTGCCCTGCAAAGGCTGAAATACTTACTCTCTGGCCCTTTAGAGAAAAAAAATTTGGCCAACTTCTAATACAAAGAAATTGCAGTTTCATTTGGTTTCTTCATGCCTCAAACTCTTATCCTCATGACAGAATCTTTTACATTCATGGAGGCATGTGACCTTGAACCCGAGCTCTCACTGGAGCACGTGCCTTCACGGGTCCCAGCTCAGGCACTCAGTTATTCCACAGGTGTTTCCTGGGCAGTTTCTCTGTTGGGGACTATTACCAATACTTGGGATTATCACTGGAGAGAGAGACAAAGCTCTTTGCCCTTATTCTGGTTGAGGAAGAGAGGCCTTAATAATAATTATAATAAAGTATATAATGTCAGGCTGGGAGGTGAGAAGTGAGAATGTGAGGTTTCTGCAAACTGAGGGAGGCAGCCAGGTGCAGCTGTAGGGAAGAGTGGGCGGCTGGTGCGAAGCCCTGAGGTGCCTGGAGTGGTGGAGGAGCCCTGAATTAGGGCCCTGAGTGCAGGAGGGCGGGGAGGTGATACGGGCAGGGGTGTGACAAGGTGGGTGACGCATGACCTTGTTGGCTCTGGGGAGGACTTGGACATTTACGCTGAGTGAGGTGGGAGCTGTGGGGGCTGTGAGCAGAGGAGAGCAGGGCCTGAGGCCGGTGTGTGAAGGACAGGCTGGGGCGGGTGAGGACAGAGCTGGCTGTTCAGGTCTCGGCTAGTGATGATGGGGGCCGGTCCAGGGTGGCAGAAGCAGACATGGAGAGAAGTTGGGGGACACTGGAGGAATTCTGAAGGCAGAGCTGCCAGGGTTTGCTGATGGATTGACTATTGCGTGTGAAAAAGAGGAGCTGAGGGCAAGGCTTGAGTACATGACAAGATGAAAGGGGAGTGTGTGTGTGTGTGTGTGCGCGCGTGCACCTGTGGACAATCAGGAGCTTGACTTCATGATCTTAGAGATGCCCAGGAGACTTCCTGAGGGCACACAGGGGATGCATTAAGTTTGGGGATCATGGTGGGTAGAATTTAAAGCCTGAATGAGGGCAGAAGTTTGTGTCTGTTTTGTTCACACACTGGGTGTGTCCCCGCCGCATGCCTAGCACACAGCAGGTGCACAATAAGCACAGAGGCTCCGTTGGATCAGACTGGGGCTTTGCCCCCTTGGGGACTTGGGCATCCTGTCCTAGCTGCTCCCTTCTTCCCCCTCACCCTAGGGAGGAGATCCCCGTCAGCAACGTGGCGGAGCTGCTGCACCAGGTGTCTATGGGGATGAAGTACCTGGAAGAGAAAAACTTTGTGCATCGTGACCTGGCGGCCCGCAACGTCCTCCTGGTCAACCGGCACTACGCCAAGATCAGCGACTTCGGGCTCTCCAAGGCCCTGGGTGCCGACGACAGCTACTACACCGTGAGCCCCTGGCCCTGGGATGCCCAGACGGGGGAGGGTTCCCGAGCCCTGTCTCAGCATTATCTCCCGCCCCCCAGGCCCGCTCAGCCGGGAAGTGGCCGCTCAAGTGGTATGCGCCTGAGTGCATCAACTTCCGCAAGTTCTCCAGCCGCAGTGACGTCTGGAGCTATGGAGTCACCATGTGGGAGGCCTTCTCCTACGGGCAGAAGCCCTACAAGGCAGGTGTGGGCAGAGGCGGGTGGTGGGCTGGGGGAGGGAGCCCTGATTACTCACACGTGCACTTGACTTTGGCTTGAGCAGAAGATGAAGGGCCCGGAGGTCATGGCTTTCATCGAGCAGGGCAAGCGGATGGAGTGCCCACCAGAGTGTCCCCCTGAGATGTACAAGCTCATGAGCGATTGCTGGACCTACAAGTGAGTGCCAGCGGGTGGGAGGGTACCTGGCTGAATTGACACCTGGGCCTGGGGCAGGAGGTTGTGGTGTCCAACAGTCAAACATCACTCTTCCCACCCAAAGACCCACGCAATTCATGGCCTTTCCAACCCACAGTACCTTGACTCCCCTGCGTCTGTGCTCAGCTCTTCAACACATTGGCCCTACAATGCTCTAGCACCCCAACACCCTACCTGTGGACACCCAGGGCCCCAGCATCTAAAACCTCAGTCCCCCTCAGCCAGCACTCAAGCAATCCTGCAAGATTCAAACAAGTCAGTACTGTTACCCAAAATATGACACCAGTACTCAGGGCCTGGGGTGATATTCCACTGTATAATATAATAATATGACACCCATACTCAGGGCCTGGGGTGATATTCCACTGTATATCCCCATCCACTTTTCCCCATCAGCCAACACCTAGTTGCCCATTAAGGCAACATTGAAGCCCCCAAATATTCAATATCCCCCACCTTCATGTACTTGAAGTCCAGTGCTTGAACACCTAACCCCTAACACCATCAGTATCTCCACTTCCAAGTACAGGTAACATGCACCCAAACAAGGTGTCACCCTTCACTAATCATGCAATGCTTAGGCATTCCAGTATTTGATCCCTTTACTGCCTCAATGTCAATTATTCCACTGGAATAATTCCACCTGTCACACTGATACCCAGACATCCAAGCAATCCAATAAATAGACACCCTGTTTATGTTGGGTGATGGTAAGGGACAGGGAAACCTGGCGTGCTGCAGTCCATGGGGTTGCAAAGAGTTGGACAGGATTGTGGGACTGAACAACAAATTTATGATAAATTAATAAGAAATGATCAGATCATTCCTACTCCAATATATATTAAGCCAGCCTCTATCAGGAAACGCTCAATATACCAACACCTCAATATCCAGAGACTAGAGTCTAATACTCCAACACAGTTCATGGATACTTCACACACGGTACCATTAATACCTGGAATCTCCACTAGATGAACCCATCCCCCTCCTCACCCCAGTACTGTTCCATCCCGGGCAGCATACTTGCATCCATGTGAGCCCACAGCTAGCACCCAAGTACCCTGCCCAAATACCCATGCTCAGTACTTCAGCACTCAGGGTCCCAGCTCCCTGGAGTCAAGCTGTCACCCCAACCCTCAGTGACCTCTCCAGTCTAAGTCTTCAGCAGTGACCTCTAAGTGACCTCTCCAGTTTAAGTCTTCAGCAGTCAGGACTCAGTATACGCTTCCTGTCGATCCTGAATGTTGGCCCTTCTCTTACGCCAGAGGGCAACCCCTGAATTGCAGTTGTCTTACACGCAGGAGATTCTCCCCCCGCCATCACCCACTAACCCCTGCCCCACTGCTTTCTGAGCCTCGTGCATGCCCACCCACTAGCTGCAGTTGGGTTCTGGGGGTGTGGTCAGCCTCCTGGATCTCCACTACCCCTCGCAGGTGGGAGGACCGCCCGGACTTCGCCGCAGTTGAACAGCGCATGCGCACCTACTACTACAGCTTGGCGAGCAAGGCGGAGGAGCCCGGCGCTTGTGCAAATGGGGTTGAGGCTGCGTGTCCCTGAGCTCCACCCGGCCCAGGGCCTGAGGCCCCCATGCCCCCAGCTTTTCCTCCTGTGCCCTCAGCTCTCTCCCGGGACTTCCAGGCTGGGCCCGGCCCAGTTTCTCTCTGGCCCACACTGGTCTGGTATTCCCAGCCTGGTCACCTGGCCCCTCTGGCTGGAGGAGGAAGCAAGACCTGAAGAAGATAGTCCTGGACTGGAAGCTACAGGGGAGCCCTGAGCTGAGGGGGGTTGCTTACAGCTGGGACCCTCCTTCCTCTGGGTCCAGAAAGGCAGACTCTGGGAATCATCAGGCTGTGAGACCTGGAATCATTGGATAAATTCTAGCCTCTCCCTTGTTTGGAATCCCTCATCTTTCTGGGGTGGGGCTGGGAGGACCAGGAAAGGGTCAATGCACGGGGTCCATGAGAAGTGCCTGAAGCAGCTGTTTTTGTGTGGGTCTGGGGGCTGCTTTTCCCACCCCTCTGCCCTGGGAACATGTTCCTGTGAGTCGGGGGTCTGTGGGAGGTGAGCCTGGGGCCTGAGGGGCCAGGGTCACTGCTGACCCCAGTTGCCAGACCTTTGTGGACGGCGTGAAATAGGTGCTGCCCATGTTCACTGCGTGTGAGCCATCACCTGCAGAGACTTAAACACCCTGCTGGCACCTCCCCTCAGCCACGCCCCAACTTGTGCTTTTAAAGTCTCTTCAGGTGATTCCAGCATTCTGTCCCACCTACTCAGCTGCCTCCCCCTCTTCCCTGGGCCCAGGCAGTCACAGCTGGGAATCTTTATCAACCTGATGCCCCATTGCGGACTCTGTCCCGGCTCAATCCCGCTCCAGAGAAGACCTGTCCAGGCCCTCGCTGCCTCAGCTTCCCCGCCTGGAGATTTGGGGTGCTGGAGCTCAGAAACTAACCGGGTGGGTGAAACAGAGCCAGGTCCCTGCCTCTTTTCTGGACTCACTCCCCCTTCCTCAACTGCAGTTAACCCCATGCTCAGTTCCCTGGCCTCAAAGAGCCGAGGGCTCCAGGGCGGCCATGAATCCCCCTCGAAACCAGGGAGATGCCAGGAGATTTTCTGCAGCTTCGGGGAAGGTAGATTTTTTTTCTGTTTGTTTGTGGAGCTCTAGAAAGTCAGAGGCTCTTTCGTAGAACTATAGGGTGCGGGTGGGGGGACAGGGGCTTTCGGGATTGTGTGGAGGCTGAGCACGAGACCTGGGTGGGGATACATTATTTGGTAAATGTACATATTAGTTTGTAAACTGACTGTGTTACTGACTTTAACACCATTAAAATGCAAAAATTGTTTTTTAACTTTTCAAGTGAATGAACAAATCAAGAAAAGGTACATCAATAGTACTGTTTTGTGGCTTCCCAAGTTGTACTGTTTGCAGGTATTTTAGTTTTATTAAACCACTTGTTATTCCTGGATAATTATTTACATTGTGACATAAAGTATTATATCACAATGGAAAACATTTTCGCTGTCTGCATTTCTTTTATGGGCATTACTATTATTGTTTCGTGTTGTAATTATTGCTGAAAATACTTTATGGGGAGGAGGTGTTTAAAGTGATCTCTCTGGGTGTCAAATACACTGGAGAAAGCTGATGTCATTCAGTTGCTAAGTCGTGTCTGACTCTTTGCGACCGCATGGACTGCAGCAGGCCATCTGTCCTTCACTATTTTACAGAGATTGCTCAAACTCATGTGCATTGAGTGGGTGATGCTGGAGAAGCTTGCGCTAAATGTCCATTGGGGCCAGTGACAGAGGGTGCAGTTTCAAAAAGATACCACGAGATGGCGGTGTTCCCCACGCCGCGGTGGCTCAGCTTCTGAAACCTGGCTCCTGCCTGCTGCCTCGTTTGAGTTATCTTTTTGCCCGGAGCAGAACCCACGACTCCCCCCAGGCCTCACAGCCCCTAGTCCTGTGCCCTGCAATCCATTCACTCCACAGCCATTTGAAGAATCTTTCCTGTGAGCAGCTCTGACCTCTTCCAGGGTTCCCCAAACATATTCATGTTAATGCTGACCTCTGGGCCTTTGCAGTTCCTATTCCTTGTGCCTGAATGGTTTTCACTATTTTACTAATGTCCACAAAACTCGTACTGCATTTAAAATATGAGTAAGTTACTGGGGGAGGTTACTTAATCTGTGCCTCTGGTTTGGCCAGAAAGAGAAGGTAAATCCAGGTTGAAGAATTAGAAAACCTGAAAGGCAGTGGGGAGACACACAGGGTGTTTGAGCAGGGCAGAGTCCTGGGAAGTAAAAGGAGAAAGGCCTCCCCTCCCTCCAGCCCTTCAGGTGTAGGGGGCTCTGGCTTTGGCCAACCCAGGCCTCTTCTGTGGGTCCCCCCGTGTCTGGCCCAGAGGGTCTTCCTCTCTCTTTGCTTTCCCCAGTGGGGCTGTTGCCCTCTGGTGACCTCCTCTGAGCTTGAGTCGGCCTCTGGTCCCTGGAAGACACCCGGTGTGTGTGCGGGGTCGGTCCCGGTGGGGAAGCTGCCAGCTGCAGGTGGGACCTGGCTGTCACCTTTCTGGAAGTGTGGTGACTCCCTCCAGTACAGAGGAGCTCGGAGGCCACAAGAGGCTCACAGGATTCAGCGAGACACAGCTGGGAGCGAAGTCCCATGTGTAGGCACGGACCTGGCTGAGCCCGCTGGCATTCTGGGGGCGCAGGATGTTCTTGGGGTGGCATCCAGCGTTGTCTGCCTGTGTCTGTCTCTCTGTCCTCACTCTGTCCCCTCTGCTCTGTCTCAGTTTCTCTGTCTTAAGTCCCGCACAGCCTCCGCCTTCTCTTTTGGCCCCATCTCTCTGTCCACTAGTGTCTCTGTTGATTCCCATCTTTGGGCTTCTCAACCCTGAGGGTCCCTCCTCTCTCCTCTTGGGTTCTACTTCCTCTGACCTCAGTGCCCTCGGAGGAGAAGGAAGGGGCTGCCCCGGGAAGGGGCCAGGGCCAGGTGGCAAGCACAGCTGCTGTCTGGAGTCGCACACCCCATGCTGAGCTCCACTTTGGAAGGGCTTTTCCCATGACCTCCTGATCACTGTGGGCTGCCTCTTCCCTCTTCGCGCCCTTTCTCATCTCCCGGCTCTGACCTCTGTCCTGTTTCTTTGCTGCTTCTGTAGGTGTCACCCCCACCCATGGCTCAGCTGTCTGCGTGCTGCAGCTTCTGGGCTTTCCTGTCATTCACTGCCATGGCCTTGACACTGACCAAAGGCCAGTCCTCGGCTGCCTGCACCTCTGCTAGCGCTCGGTCATCTTAGGTCCTTCCACGACCACTGGCTGGGGGTGGGCTGTGCAGTGTGGCTCGGCCGGGGCGGTGCTTGAGGACTCAGAAGACGGCACTTTGGAGGCCAGGGAGGGTCCGGCCGTTGAGTGGTCTAGGGGTACTTGCTCTTGGGCTTGGCTGTAGAGGGTGTGGGGCTTCTTCATGGGGAGCCTGGCATCGCTCTGGAGGCCTGACTGTCCCGGGGAAGCAGTTGTGAAGGTCCAGGGTAACTGTGCTGGTACAAAGCTCTGGTTACTGGGTGGGGTGGTTCCATGGGCTGGTACCTTGTGTTCATGGGCTGGGCATTGAGTCAGTGGTTGTCATCAGCTTTGGTAGGTCACTGTTGTCATCAGTTTGGGGAGGTCAGCGTTTGCCCTTGGCCCTGGGAGGTCAGCATTTGCCCTTGGCCCTGGGAGGTCAGCATTTGCCCTTGGCTCTGGGAGGTCAGCGTTTGCCCTTGGCTCTGGGAGGTCAGCGTTTGCCCTTGGCTCTGGGAGGTCAGCGTTTGCTCTTGGCTCTGGGAGGTCAGAGGCTGCCCTTGGCTTTGGGAGGTAAGTTTTTGTCCTCGGCTTTGGGAGGTCAATATTTGTCCTTGGCTGCTGGGTGTTCATTCGTTGCCTTTGGTTTGGGGAGTCTGGCTGCTGTTGGGGCTCTTCCCCTCATAGCTGGTGGTGGGTCTAGGGGGTGCTGAGGAGTTCCAGCTGCTGAGTCAGTGGATGAGTGTGTGTTGCAGGCAGTCACTGCTTATAGGCCCCTGGCTGTTATCTGCTGGAGTCTGGGTATTGTGTGTGTGTCGTCTTGGGGGTGTAGTTAGTGGAGATCAGATCCCTCAGCTTTCCTTCTTCCTATGTTATCTCTCTGTTCTGCCCACATTTCTGTTTCCATCTCTCTCTCTGCACCTCTCCTTTCCATTCACACGTGTTGAGCACTTACTGTGTGTGTAGATCAGCTGTAGCAGGGCTCTGGACCCTGCTCATAGGGGAAGAGGTGGGACCCCTGCCACGGAGCCTGGTCCTTGGACTGAAGTCATAGGTTTATATGGGGTGAAAGAGCTGGATGCTGTGTGCCAGAGAACCCTTGATCAAGCTCCTTGCTTTGAACCTTAAGGCTGAGTCCAGGGGGTGCTTGGACTGGCCTTGAATGCATGGGGTCGGGGGTCTCAGTCACAGACTTTGGGCAGGTGCAGGGTCTCTCCCCTGGGGACTGAGAGGACTGTGAGCATCAGGGGAGAGCCTAGCCACACTGATATCTGGGCGGGTAGGGTGGGAGGAGAGTGTTCCAGGGGGAGGGAAGAGCTCATGCAAAGGCCCTGGGGCATGACAAGGAGGCCAGTGTGGCTAAGCAGAGTGGGTCAGATGGAAGGGGTGGGGCAGAGTGTGCGGAATTTTGCCCTCACTCCAAGTGAAGCGGGAAGCTCTGGGGTTGGGCACACAAGGCTCCGGGCACAGACTAGCTCAGTCTGCAAACACGGCTCTCATGTGATGCCCGCTGTCATGGTGGATATGGGCTTGGCTGGGCCCAGGTGGGACTCATTCTAAGGCTTTCATGCATGGGAACCTTCTCATCATGAGTCAGGGCTCTCGAGGTCTTTTGAGGAATGGGCTGGGCTGCCCAAAGCTGTGGGAACAGCCCTTGTGACCCCTTAGCCCAGCCCTGCTGGGCAGCCTTCTTCACAAGAGGAGGGAGTACAAGGCCCGTGAGCAGTTGGGGGCAGAGGGCGCTGGACAAAGACTGGAGGGAGGGTGGGCCTTGGCAGAGGCTCCCTGGGGGTCAAGGAGAGGGGCTGTGGGAGGCAGTGTCTGACATCTCCTTGTGTGACTTCTTGCGATGAGCAGCTCATTACCTACCAAGGCAACCAGGCTGGCCCATGAGCTAGAATTCTTAGAATGTTCTTTCAAATGCTGACCCCAACCTGGACCTCCACCCCTCCCCTGTGGTCCCATAACCACACCAGGCTCACCTCTTTCTCTAAATATTTCACTCCTCCAATACTTATTGCATGCCTGTTGTGGAGATGTGTGTCCCTGGTACACAGACCCAGAGTCTCGCTGCAGTGATGGTGGAAGGCCATGTGACCCCGGGAGTCCAGAAGTGGCTCCTGACCTAGTTGAGAGGAGGTCAATCTGGTGGATTTCATGTAGAAAGTAACATCTAACCTGAGTCCCCTGTAGGATGAATGAAGTTTGGCCATGGAAGAGGTGAAGAAAGAGTGTTCCAGGCACAAGGAACAGCGTGTGGAAGGCAGAGAACGTCCTTTTGGAAACCAAAAGAGGTTTGGAATGGCTGGAACACGGTGTTTGAGGAGGGATGCTGAGGCCAACAAAGGGGTCATGCTGGAACTGTGACCCCCTGGGAGACAAGTGACCTTTTCTTTTGTATTTCCTGGTTGCTCTGCCAGAAAGCAACTTATTCCCTGTCTTCCCCCACCCTCCCATGGTGCATGAATTATATAATTTTTTCTTCTTTCTTTGAATTTGAAGTATAGTCAATGTGCAATAATATATAAGTTACAGTTGTACAATAGTGATTCACAATTTTTAAAGGCTATCCTCCATTTAAAAAATATTGGCTACATTCCCTGTATTGTACAGCATATGCTTTTAGCTCATTTTGTACTTGAGGACTCTTTTCCCCTCCCCTGTCTTGCCCCTCCCCGCTTCACTCTCCCCACTGGTAACTACTAGTTTGCTGTTTATATCCTTGAGTCTGCTTCTTTTTTGCTACATTCACTAGTTTGTTGTATTTGTTTTAGATCTCACGTATGTTCTATTGTACAGTATTTGTCTTTCTCTGTGTTAATTATCTCACTTACAGTGCCCACCACGGCCAACCATGTTGTTGCAGATGGCAAGATTCCCCTCTTTTCCCCTGTGGCTTAGTGCTATTCCATCGGTGTGTGTACGCGCATGCTAGTGGTGTCCAGCTCTTTGTGACCCCATGGACTTGTCATCTAAAAAACACAACTTGAGAACTGTGAATTAAGTTTTTCTGGGGCAAAGCGAGGACTGCAGTCTGGGAGACTGCTCCAAAGAGGCAGGGGGAAGGTCAGGATGTAAGACTTTGGTGAAGGGGGCGCTTACTGCAACCAAGTGCTTACTTTACAACAGGTTTGCTCCTGGTCACGAGGAGCTGATGTAAACAATGATGCTGTGAACACTGGGACACATGCATCTTTTTAAATTTGTTTTTCAATTCCACCTAGGAATGGAATGC